ACATGAGCACCACGCGTACTGCACTCCCTTCTGCAGCTTAAGACGCACTGGCTTATTTTCGGCACACGCACCTACCATTGGGTATAACACAGCCGATGGATTCAAAATTTTCACGCCACTTTTTGCACGTGACAGAATTCGACATCCCTAAAAATGAATACACAAAAATAAAAGATCTGTTGCGATACTAAAGTTTATCTTCAGTTACAGTGCAAGCTCCTGGATTGTGGATATATCAGTTCCCCTTATCGCTTTACTCTTCCCCTATCGGTCCCCGCGCCTGCGTTGCGAGTGGAATCTCATAGTGCAAAAGTTTTAAAGCATGGGCTCTATGTCCTGTATGAATGAGTGGTCAGAGTAAATAGTATACCTATCCCGTCCTTGTCCTATACTTTCTCAGACACCCTACGTTTAGGCACTTGAGCCACTTCGATAGAAACAGTTGTCGATCGCTTTACGAGAGTTCTGCTGAAACCATTGGCGGATCCAAGACGGGAAGGGGGACGAGGGGGAGGGCTCAGGTTAACAGCTGCTTTACTGCAGAAAACTCTCTTAGATACCTCCGTGTCCCCCTCCCCTCTCCTCCAGGTAGTCGCCAAAGTTTAGGGCCGACCAACGAGGTGGGAGATAGCGGGATGACCGGAGGGAGGAATGTATGGGGCGATGAAAAGGGGGGAGGGAGGGAAGAGGGAGAGGAGGGAAGAAATCACCCAAATCGCCCCTCCCAGGAGACTGCCCTTGATCTCCCCACGGCTAAAACACAACAGGAGTAATCCTCTTTCCCTGGGGTGGGTGGTTATTAAAATAACAGGATAGAAACAAATCACAGATGAACCTCACATTCTCAATGGCTAAATCGACGGATAACAAAGGTCAGGTACTTACGAAACAAAACCCACATCACAGAGTGCCCGAGAAAGAAGGAAGCCTGCACAGTTACTGTTGGAGCAAGCGCCTTGGGTTCAATCGAGATTTCTTGGTGTGTGTGTAAGATGGGCCAGGCTATAATTGCCCAGGAATCTAGTATATGTAGATGTGCAGTCGTAAAACAGACTTGCGTGGGTGAGACGGAGGTTTTTCGATACGGCTAGGCCTTCGCTGCATTGGTATGTTAGGGTAATTGTTAGGTGGTACTGAAGTTTTGGCGCGTTTTTGCATCTATGCAATGCTGAAAAAGTATATTAATGAGGGGTTGTCTGTGTGTCTGTCTGTGCGTTCGTTTGTACCGATTTTTCATCTCGAGACCTAAAAAAGCTACACAGCTGAAACTTTGAAAAATTAATTTACATGCGTGTGTGGACCCTTGTCCCCAAAACGGGCGCTCTTGTCCACGTGATGTCCACGTAAGGGCTCGCCAAGGTTTTTGACGGGCAAGCCGCTAACTCGAGGACCAGTAAAGCTAGAAGACTGGGGTTTTAAGGAAATGTTCCCCGCCCACGTGGGTATGCTCGGAAATTTTTGCGGGTAAGTTGCTAATTCGGGAAACTGAAAAATTAGAAGGCTATAATTTTAACCGGATGTCCCCCATTTACATAGGTGTTAATGAGCTCAAACTCAGACACCGGGTATGCGGGACTCCCAACTTACGGGCCCGAGAAATTTTTTTTTGGGGTAAATTGTTAACTCGGGGGAAAGTAAAGCCAGAAAACTGAAATTTTAAGGGGATGTTTCTTGACAGTCCTGGCAGGTAATCTCAGCTCATTTGGCTAGAAGCATCTGCAAGATTAACCGATGTCGTCAGCGGCAAAAACCTGCGGGGAACTATGCAAAAAGTAGTCGGTGCGCTGGCCAATTATTTTTTTATTGACAGAGTTTATATTTGGACAAGCTGGGCTCAACAGTTAGTCACGTTTCATTTCAGTAAGTAGACGGATCCAGGTCGGTCTCCTGAAGGGGAGGGGGGAGGGGGAAAGGCGACAGGGGGTTTCAAGACTTTTCTACAGTAAAATAACTGCTACTGAGCCCCTACGGGCTCCCCCCCCCCCTCCTCCCTAGATCCACCAATGCTTCAGTAACAGCACTACACCGACGTCATGCCCATTTTCCAGGACAAGAAAGTTTGGAATTAACATGGGCACCGTAATAAGCTGAAATAAATAGCAACGCGCACCAGACTAGCCGGTGCGACCATGTGTTTTATGCAATTTCCCCCACCGAACAGTTGCTTATTAATGATTTTCACCGCTCTGTACTTTAGTCTGTGTAGAAATAGTTGTTGAAAAATAGTTAAAAATTTCACGCACGGACGCATGGAAGCTGAACTTGAAACCTTGAAGGGTGAATATCCTGCCGTGATTCCAAAGATAATAGTTCACACATTAAAACTTTCACGAGGCCGTAAGTGATACCCAAGAACGCGGGAACGCTGAATTTGTAAGGTTGTCCGTGTGCAAGAGGTCACTACCTTAAAATTTCAGCTTCCTAGATTCTATGATTCCCGAGATAATAATTTACCCGCGAAAATTTTCATGGGGCCGTAGGCGATACCTGAGAGCGCGGGAACGCTGAATTTGAATAGGCAAGGTTGAGTGTGGGCAGGTAGTCAACACCCCAAAATTTCAGCTTCCTAGACTCCATGGTTCCCGAGATAATAATTTACCCGCCAAAAATTTTCACGGGGTCGTACATGTTACCCGCGGGCAGGGGAAAGCTGAATTTAAATTTTCTGGGTAGCACATGGGTGGAGAACTTGCCCACAAAATTTCAGCCTTCTAGCTTATGTGGTTCCCGTGATAATAATTTCACCCGCCCAAACTTTTACGGGGCCGTACGTGTTACCTACGGAACAGGGAGGCTGAGCTTAAATTTGCGGGTTCGCACGTGGGTGGGGGATGTTCCCCTAAATTTTCAGCTTCCTAGCTTTTGTGGTTCTCGAGTTGAAAACTGCGGACAAGTTGCTGCGGACACACACACACACACAAACACACACAGACAACCCCGTGACAATATGCGTTTTGTGCTGTGTAACAAATATTTTCACCCGCCCAAGCTTTTACGGGGCCGTACGTGTTACCTACGGGAACGGGGATTGCCGGCGATGTGTGTTACGCATTCCCTTTGTTATGCGTAACACACATCGCCGGCAATGCACAGAATTCCACCTGCAACTTGAACTGTGATCATTGGCGGATCCAAAAGGGCGGGGGGAGAAGTTGGAGACGAGAAAAAGAGCATGTACTACCAGCCAAACCGTTATGAACTTAAAGGAATCGCTGTTCTCTTGCTGCATGTCAACGGATTTACAAATTAAGAATAAAGAATACGAAAACCTAGTAACGAGGCAAATTGTGGACACGTTCAGCGCAGAAACGAGGGGAAAAAACATACGTTGCTGTTGTTGTTGAGCCGACCGTGAATGACCAGTTTCTCCAGGATATTCCGGAGCATCACCTCGTCTCGTCCTAAAAACGCTTTGGTTTCCCATGCATTCCATCCCTCTTTTCACGCTCCTACCTCCGAGTAGGATCTCTGGTCCTTTGCAGTCAGTGACCTCCCTCCTTCCCCCACCTTTCTGTTACGACCCCAAAACTTGGACCACCACTCGCCCTCACCTCTCTCTAGCCCCAGCTCCCTAAACGCCTGTCGCTACAACTCGCCTATTGACCCGGCCGAGCCGAGATTTTGTTATTGCTGATTCCCAACCGTTCTACATGTGACGGCATGTTTGATGTATTCTTTGTAACTTTGTCTCTCATGGAGCGTGTGACCTGAAGAAAAAGTTTTTTTTGGAATGGCCTGGATGCTGCGCAGCCGAGCCGAATTTTAGAAGCTACCTCTCCGCCGCACAAAACACGACCACTGCTAAAACTCGGCTCGGACACGGGTTACGGGAGCTAACTGTTGGTGAGGGACGTTACACCGCGGGTAGGGTAGCGTGAATTTGGGCGGGAAGAGGAGGGGGGAGGAAGGGTTCGATCACCCGATGTGTACTGATTTGTAGATCTAGCTCCCTCCCTCCTTCTCCTTACAAGTGCTGGGTAACGCAAAATTTATGAGACAGGGGACGGCGTGGTTCGAGATGCAGAGATTCAGCGCTGAGGAGGCACTGGGATAAAGCAATCACTAAACTCAGTTCTTCCAAGCAATATGTATTTATTTGTCGGTTTATTGTCTGGTTGGCGTAGATTTGGGGGAGCGGGGGCGGGGTGTTGTGAACAATATTCACGGAAGGAAGAAAATATATATACATATATAAATAAGGGTGCGAAAGATAAAATGCAAAGCTCGAGGAAATATCGTAAATTATCAGTGATCTTTGCGAAACATTACTCTTTTACAAGCGATAAGTGCATTTTATTACTCCGCAGTTTTTTTAATGATTGTTTATGATATTGTTGCATCATGACTCCCTCCTAGGTAGGTCGTACAATGGCGCGAAAGCGACATATGTAAGGCCGCCGTAGCTGTGTTGTAAAGTAGTGACGACCCAGAGGAATGTGTCGATCCAGTGGAGTGTCGACCCGTTGTAGCGCTGTGGTATTGTGGGCGACTTACGAAGGACGAGGTTCCCGCTGTCACCCCAAGTTATCGCCGAGAAACCGACGACCCAACTCAACGCCCCGGATCACAGGGCCAGTCGAAGAAACGCCCACACCAGCCAGAAGCCCAGCAACTGGGGGCTGAGCAGGTGGTCCGCTCTATTGGCGGGTCGGCCGGACCTCTGCAAGGGTGACAAAAAGCGACATGGCGCTGAAGGGTGTGGCATGGAGCCGGCCGGCTCAGCGGACGAGGA